GATGTTGAATTTCTGATTTTGAGAGGTACATTCATATCTACAAGTTCAATGTCAACCTTTCTATAAAGTAAAGCCAATAATAATTTCATTTGAAGCATTGCAATATCTTTACCTACACATAATCTTAAACCTCCACCAAACATTGAAAATGAAAATTTATGATGATTTTTAATTTCTTGAGATTCATAAAATCTTTCAGGAATAAACTTTTCAGGATCTTTCCAATTAAAAGGGTTATTATTAACGCCTCGAACATACATTACGAATAAAGTGTCAGTAGTTGATGGCCAGGAATATCCTGCTATTTCATCAGCATGATTAGTATATCTTGATACGAGAGGGACCGCAGGTCTTATTCTTGACGTTTCTTTAATGATTGCTTCACAATATCTTAACTTATTAAGGTCATCCAGAGTTATCGGTCTAGTTAGATCATCGTTGAAAACTGTTTTTATCTCCTCTAGCAATTTCTTTTTAACATTTAGATTCTTTGAAATGTAATATAATGCAAAACAGAAAGTATTTGAGATCTAAAAAATAAATTATATATGTAAGTTAGCAATTATAGAACTATTTATTGTTAAAATATTAATGAATTAAATATCTTATAGAAAGGTGATTAGTATGAGGAAGTCAGGCGCTTAACAAATAACTTTAATATTTTTAATTCGCAAAAATATAATTCATATAATATCTCACCATACTAATCACCTCATTATTTTACTTACAGTATCCGAAGGTATAAATGATTCAAACAAAATGCCAAGTATTTCATCATCAGTCATTGGCCTTGACAATGAAGGATCGATATTAATTTGAGAATGAATTTCATATGGAGTATTTGTAATAATCATTGATGTTAATAGATCATTTCCTAAATGTTTCGAATCAAAGTTACCACTATTAACTATTTTTTCAACTTCTTTTCTTCTTTTCCTAATTCTTTCTAGCGATTTTTCTTTCATAAAGTCACAATCATTTAACAAACTCTGAATACGGTTTCTGAGTATTGGAATATATCTTAAAAGTTTTGGCATAAATACAAATAGATTATCATTTTGAAAATTTCTTACGCAATTAGAATACTTCTCAGATTCCATTAACTCTTTTGTAATATCAATTTTTTTCAATCTCTGATAATATGATTTCATCGCAAATGATGGACTACCAGTTACTACTCCGAATAAAAAATCAAAAGAAAATTTATACATCCAAGTAGATGCCTCAATGATTGTTGAATCATCATCAGGATTTTTTAAATCAATCCAATGATTTATCATCTCTTCAGATAAAATATTCATCAACTTAATAGTTCTGTCAGAAGAAGCTGCTGTCCTCATAGCTCGAGAAAAAATTTGACGATTGAATCTCCAATAGCTGTAATTACAGTTAAATGCAACTCCTTTGTTACTAAAATCAAATAAATCTAAAAGCCCCCTATTCTTATTAGTTCTCATTAAATATTTCGTA